ACACTAGTTTGACCCATTACAACATTAGTATTAAACATATTATTAATATATTATATATTAATTATAATAAAATATAATCCTAATAAAATGTTATAATATTTAGTTTACATTATTATAGTATTATAAGTATTAAATATAATACAATATAATATTGTATAATATATTATAATATTGTGATATTATTATATTAGAATTATTACTTATTATTTTCAAATAATTATATATTTAATTATTTTGGTATATCAATTTGTTATTGTTATATATTTTATTAATATTTTTATAATAATATTATTTTATTATTAATATAAAATTGAGGAGGCGGAAACAGCAGCTCAAATTCTACTTTTGACCTCATAGGTCAAGAAGCAATACCAAATAGGAGTCATACTCCATCTCAACAGCCAACATCTTGGCGAACTATTGCAAAGAAGCATAACTCTTCTCATACTAAAACCTTTTATAAAGGTGTACGAGATATCGTAGATCAGGAAAATACTCCTGAACCTTTTACTAATATAGTAAAAGAGGAAACTAAATGGTTCGAAAAATCTCATACAGATATAGTTCTATATTTAGAACCCGAAGATATTGCTTTAATGCAAGAACCAGAAACAATTCGGCAAAGATATCTTCACGACACTTACTATCCTACTCTTTCTTTAAAATCAAGAGCTTGGATAAGGACTTTATTAAGTCAAAAAGGAATGGAAATAACCCATTTTTGGACTACAGAAAATCATTCTGTTCCTCCTGGATTTAGCAAATGTGTTATCAGAGAAGTTATACTTCCTCGCAATTGGGCTATAAACCCCAATGAAGAATTACCGTTGGTAAGAGTTCAAGCTACAAAAGAAGTTTACAAATTCAACTATTGGGACTATAAACAAGCTTTCTTTGATCTGTTCTTATATCAGAACCCAAAACAAAAGCATACATGGCTTATCAAGCTATGTCCTGAAGCCCTTCAAAAGGGAGTTCCTAATTGGTTTTATAAATGGTGGGAAACATATGGAATTGAAATTGCAATTATTCCCGAACCCCTTCTGAAGTTATATTCTTCATGGGTCGACAGTCATCCAAAATTATCAAGAATGGATGAAAGCCAGCTCATAGATGGCATGTGCTTCGCACACTTCTTTGCAGAAGTAGAAATTCCTTGGATTTGGAATTGGTCGCTTATATGTGACTGGACCCCATCACATATTCCTATTCTTAAAAGAACATACCAATGCAGATGGTGGAATGGGATCTGTCTCGAGACCAAAGTCAAAGAATTAGAGGAAATTATCCAGAGAAATAAAACTCTGTTAGAGTCAAATATGACTCAAGAAGTCAAAAAAGATAATCCTATGACTAAAATGGCAGCCTTAATAAGGCGAAAATATCCTCAAAGCTCTGAAGCCGAAATTAAGCAGAAGTGCTTAGAATATTTTAAAAGGCAGTTCTTTGAAGCTTTTGACGAACCAGAGACTAATAGTCATGCTTCTTCTATGGAAGAAGATACACCTGGTCTGGATCATATCCAAGATGCCCAAGACCCTGAAGACATTTGGGCTGAAATTTTTAATAACCCTCCAGACCTTAAAGGTAAAAGCCCAGCTTTATAAGCAGACAAAACACTAGATTGAGCCTCGGGGAGCCGTCTAGCATCTCTTTTCTAAAAGCAGCTTTATAAAGCAGCTTTAATAAAGCTACTTTCCTTAAAGGAGCATCTTCCTGTGCATATTGCGGCCACTTTATTTACTGTGATATATGCGGGTCGTTTTCAAAGTTAGTGCGACACTTCTGCGAAGCTTCGAGAAATAATGATGACGACTTTAAAGATTCCTCAAGCGTCTATAAATAAGGAAGAAGGGAGAAGGCAGAGAGTGTGGTTGTTTAAATAAGAAATAAAAATTCTGAGTGTTCTCTGAGTGATTTCTGAGTGATCTCTTGTAATATATCCTCTCTTGTAAAATATTGTGGATCATAATAATATCAAATAACCAAAATTTATATCGGATTGCGAATATCAGCTAAATACTAGAAATATGTGGTAAATATCGGAATGACATAACAGATATTTGCATATATAGTACAATACTCTAAAATCAACATACTTAATGAAATCTAAGCATAAAAAATGAAAATAATATATGTTTAGGATCACTAATCAACTTGTAAAACAAACAAAAGTACAAATCAACATTACAACATTTCATCTAATTTTTTCAGCCAAAATGTCATTTGATATAATGGCAAAGTCATGATATCTCGCCCTAAAATTGCCAAACACGGTATATTATTTTGTGACAAGCCAAATAAAAGGATGTATCAGTCAACATATCAACTGAGATATCGAACATATCGGGAATATATCACCCAAAAATAGCTTAAAAGCAATAAAGGATATTTACAAACCACTGCGACAAGCCTTGTAAAAGGATAAATCAGGAGATATATCGGGCCATGTCGAGGATATTTAAAACAATGTACATAGTGCATAAAGAGGGTACAAATGGAAAAGAAAAAAAAGCCCACAATATAGCTTTTCTACAAATATGTATATAGATAGAAACAGTGCATGTCTGAGATACTTGATGAGTGAGAGAGAGAGAGTGTGTATCAAAACATAATAGTTATTCAGATACAGAAGAAAGTAATATCTACAGGTAATATATGCTGACATTGCCATCAGAATTTCCTATTTTCTAACTTTTCTCTCTGAAACCAAATTCAAAAACTTTCTGGATTCAAAATGTTATTCCTGAGCAAAATTTACATACATTCATACTTCTGCAATCATAGAGGCACAGAATACAGTATTTCAATTTAAATAGAACAGAATATCAAGCTGATTACTAATTTAATAGAACAACCACCACCTGACTTAGAATTGTATCTGCTCTCTTTTTGGCCATGTTTCAATCTTCTCAAAGTATTTGACTGGAACTACACCATCAGTGGATGGTTCATGTAACGGGAAGTTCTCGGAAGAATGCTATATGTAATTTTCTTAGGGATAACCCGATCATTACAAACAAAGTGATAAACACTACATCCCTACGGTGATTTCTGAATACTCTTTTGCTGAGATGAGATTCGATCACTTCGTTGGATCAATCTTCCCTCACAAAATTCTCACATGGTCAAACATTTAAACAGTTAGGACCAAAGACAAAATCCCCTCTCGATTCCTTTTATGAACGAGAGGTCCACAAATTGAACGATCAAACCTTTAAACAGTCTATCTCTCAGCAGCTCATCAAAAAAATGAGTAGCCACAACATACCCACTTTTCCATATACATATATATACCCACACGTGTGCATAGGAAAAATTTGTTTAGACGGTTCATGTTGCTAAATTATCTACCCAGATATAGGCCGGCGGCAAAGCGCATCCTACTAGTCATACTCGAACTAGTGGATATCACGACACTCTAGGGGAGAGCATACGGTCGGTTCGGCCGGTTTTGACCATCTTGAATCAAACCGAATCTAAACCGAACCATCGGACAAACTGAACAAAAACGAGCCAAGCGGTTTCGGTTCGGTTAAGTCAGTTTTTGCTCCACCACCATGAAGCAACTTGCAACAATAGACTCTTGCAATCCATTAAGCATAGACCCCATTGTCATGGTAAATACAAGATAAAAAGATAGATTGGAGATTAAATAAGTTAGAGGTTGAAAAAGAACCAAAAGGTGATTGAGGAATAAGCTATGATGATCGGTTTGTTATTGATATTTGGCAAGAAGGTTGAAGGCGAGCTTCTCTCTCTATTATTCAGTTGATTTTTTGGAGACAGCTTACAATTGAAAAGTTGGATAAGCTGCTTCATTCCATATATCTTCATGCTATTACGTTATTAAAAATCAAACCATGCAACTCATATGACCTTTTACTAGTGCATCAAATGGTGGCCAAATCATTTTTTCTCAAGATAAATAATCTCATAATTCATAAACTAAAAGTTAAAAAATTTCATATTTAAGAAGTTGTTTTGATCAATATGAACGGAGTGAATATTCAATTTCTAACATATCATCCACTTTGGTATGTTATATACCATGAATCATTCAATTTCTAATGAATTGCACAGTACTGAATGGTGTGTTTTCCAACATATCATGCACTTTTGTACGCTGTGTTCCATAACATATCATGCACTTTGATGTGCGTGCGTGCGTCACAGCGCCTTTTTTTATCTCACAAGCTAGCCTTCCTGTGCGACACTTAGTTACTCTGGCTCACTAGAACGGCTAAGCTTAGCCTACCAAACAAAGCACACAAGAACACTACTTTAGAGGGAACTTGAGATTTCTATTACTCAAGCTTGTTTGGATACAAATGAGCTCCCCTTTGGTCTCTTTACATAAGAGAGGCTCCCGTTTACATAAATGGCCCGGATTTCTCTTCTCGAAAATTTTATACATCCAATGATCAAGATTAATCCTCTTGAGATTCTATACAAATATCTCTTATGCATGAATATACAAGAATATTCAAGAATATACATTAACATTCTAGAGCCTGGTTGACGTGGCGCTAATGTAAGCGCTAACTTGGCGAGAGAAAAAGTTGTATGTCACACGCAGGTGTGCACGTGCTTGCGCGCGTGTGGGCGGGTAGGTGGGGTGTGCGTGCACACTTCTTGTGTCTGTGTGCGGGCGTCACGTGAATGCGTGTGCATGTGCCCTTGCATGTGGATGGGTGTGAGGTGGGTGTGCTTGCGTATGCATGTGTCATATGTGCATGTGTACATGGTTGCATGTGTATGTTAATGTGTGCTTGTGGGCATACTAGTTATGAAATGTCACCTAATTTAACAAAATGAGCAACCAAGAGATGTCAATGACATGTGATTAGCAGGATGATCATTACCACTAATCTATCTCTCAGCAGCTCATCAAAAAAATGAGTAGCCACAACATACCCACTTTTCCATATACATATATATACCCACACGTGTGCATAGGAAAAATTTGTTTAGACGGTTCATGTTGCTAAATTATCTACCCAGATATAGGCCGGCGGCAAAGCGCATCCTACTAGTCATACTCGAACTAGTGGATATCACGACACTCTAGGGGAGAGCATACGGTCGGTTCGGCCGGTTTTGACCATCTTGAATCAAACCGAATCTAAACCGAACCATCGGACAAACTGAACAAAAACGAGCCAAGCGGTTTCGGTTCGGTTAAGTCAGTTTTTGCTCCACCACCATGAAGCAACTTGCAACAATAGACTCTTGCAATCCATTAAGCATAGACCCCATTGTCATGGTAAATACAAGATAAAAAGATAGATTGGAGATTAAATAAGTTAGAGGTTGAAAAAGAACCAAAAGGTGATTGAGGAATAAGCTATGATGATCGGTTTGTTATTGATATTTGGCAAGAAGGTTGAAGGCGAGCTTCTCTCTCTATTATTCAGTTGATTTTTTGGAGACAGCTTACAATTTTCCTTTTTCTTTCTTTTTTGATGAAAGGGACAACTTGAAATTAGTTTGAAATGATGTTTTACCGTGAGACTTCATATTATGCATTGAGTAGGCTTACGGACTTGGCAATGGTGTAACGGTGAGACTTTGAATGGGTATAGTAGGTGGGACACACAAAGGATTAGAATGAGTGAAGTATTAACGTGAATCCTTAAGTGAGGTCGGTCAATTTGGTCCGGAGTGAGTTTACTACAGCTTAAATGAAACCTAAGCCAGTATTCAAACTGCACCGAACCGCTAAAAGTCAGACGGTTCGATCTTTGTTCGGTTACAACCAAACAATACTCAACGCTACCATTCTCTTTTAACAGCTTACTTGGTTAAAGAGGTAGCAGCTCATATCCAATAACTTATACACACAGACACACTGCATCCCCATTCCATCACATTCAATAGTTACTATGTCAGACACTTTGAAAAAACTTCTAACACTTGACATCTGTGTCTGGTATAAGGATAACACTGAAATGAGTTCCTTGAACTGGATGAAACAATTTCAGAGAGACCGGATCATCATCATCATGCAGTTTAACGTTCTACTCAAAAGGAAGCCAGGAGGACTCATATGTAGGAATGTTATGACAAGCACTTACCATCGGCCTCAAGCACCAAATGGAAAAGATTTTTTGAATAAAATCCAGAAAATGATTAGTGAGGTTTATCTTTTGGGACGTTGAAGATGGAAGGAAGAAAAGATGAATGTTGTAATTTACGATATCTTAACTAAACATGTGTGTCCTTTTGTTGTACTTCTCTTTTCTGTGCATATGTCAAAGCTTTATTTCAGTGTAATGCCACCCTAAGCATTCTAAAATAATGTAGTTTTGTATGATTATTTTAGAAGGGTGAATGATGAAGGCAAGATTTAAATCTGTCTTTCTAAATTAATTTAGCTTTTCAAATTTTACCCATAATTGTCATGCAGGATTAACTTACTTTACAGTAGATATCAGAATTTTAACTCATGAAGGTAAAAAGAAATTACAACCGTAAAGTGATAATAAATTATGGAGAACATACCGCTAATTACTTCGCCATCTGCAGGCGAGCCACTAGAGAAATGAACGTGTAATCTTGACATCCGCTTTAGTCCCGATTGCAAGATTGATTCCAAGTTCTTCTTATAGGTTCCATGCACACAAACTGTAGTATAAGGCCATTAGCTTTTGAAGGAAAAACTGAGTATTTTTTCTTACTTTTAATGAAATATTTACAGCCTAATTTATAAAAGATGTGGCCGGCATTCCAGCCCACCAAATAAGGAAACAGAATTCCTTCAAATAAGGAATCCTAACTAAAACTGGAAAACAGAAACTAAATCTAATCTTTTCTAAAACAGAATCTAAATTTAATCTTTTCTAAAACAAAAACTAAATCTAATCCTTTCTACACTCCCCCTCAAGCTGGGTAGTATATGTTATACAAACCAAGCTTGAAGTTCAATTCATCAAAAACAGCTCTTGGAAGTGCTTTGGTGAGAACATCAGCAATCTGCTGTCTTGTTGGAACATAACTGAGTGAACAATTCCGTTGTTGACCTTCTTTGAGATGAAGTGTTTGTTGATCTCAATATGTTTTGTCCTGTTATGATGAACAAGATTTTTGGCTATGCTAATAGCAGGTTGGCTCTCACTAAACATCTTCACTGTATCCTGTGTTTGAACCTTGAGTTCTCTTAAAAGCCTTTGAAGCCACATTCTTTCACATATTCCCAACGCCAAAGCACGATACTCTGACTCTGCACTGCTACGAGAGACAACAGCTCGCTTTTTGCTTCTCCATGTGACAAGATTACCCCAAACATATGAGCAATAACCAGTAGTTGATCTTCTGTCTGTTAATTCTCCTGCCCAGCTAGCATCAGTGTATATTTCTACTTTTCGTTTTTTCAGACTTTATGAATAGTAGACCATTCCCTGGAGTCATCTCCAGGTACCTTAAGATTCGATTTACTCGATTAGCTCTTGGAAGTGCTTTGGTGAGAACATCAGCAATCTGCTGTCTTGTTGGAACATAACTGAGTGAACAATTCCGTTGTTGACCTTCTTTGAGATGAAGTGTTTGTTGATCTCAATATGTTTTGTCCTGTTATGATGAACGAGATTTTTGGCTATGCTAATAGCAGGTTGGCTCTCACTAAACATCTTCACTGTATCCTGTGTTTGAACCTTGAGTTCTCTTAAAAGCCTTTGAAGCCACATTCTTTCACATATTCCCAACGCCAAAGCACGATACTCTGACTCTGCACTGCTACGAGAGACAACAGCTCGCTTTTTGCTTCTCCATGTGACAAGATTACCCCAAACATATGAGCAATAACCAGTAGTTGATCTTCTGTCTGTTAATTCTCCTGCCCAGCTAGCATCAATGTATATTTCTACTTTTCGTTTTTTCAGACTATGAATAGTAGACCATTCCCTGGAGTCATCTCCAGGTACCTTAAGATTCGATTTACTCGATTTACTGCTTCCATATGATCCTCATTTGGATTATTCATGTGTTGGCTTACTACACTGACTGAGTATGCAATGTCAGGTCTAGTATGAGACAGATAGATAAGCTTACCAACAAGTCTTTGGTATCTTCCTTTATTCACGGGACTGATGTCTTTACTCCTATTCAGCTTCTTATTAGGATCCATAGGTGTGTCTGCAGGTTTACATCCAAGTAGACCTGTTTCACTTAGTAAATCTAGGATGTATTTTCTTTGGGATATGACAATTCCTTCTTTAGACCGAGCCACTTCCATGCCTAGAAAATACCTTAAGGTCCCAAGGTCCTTGATTTCAAACTCTGTAGCCAACATATTTTTGAGATTGACAATTTCCTCTGAATCATCTCCTGTCAGGATGATGTCATCAACATATACTATGAGAATAGCAATCTTTCCTCTTGGTTTGCTTTTGACGAACAAAGTGTGATCAGCCTGACACTGGTGATACCCATTAGCAGTCACTGTCTTAGCAAACCTGTCAAACCAAGCTTGTGGAAACTGTTTCAAACCATACAAGGACTTCTTCAGCTTGCACACTAACCTGCTGTTTGAACTGGTTTCCATTCCTGACGGATAGTCATATAGACTTCTTCTTTAGATCTTCATTAAAAAAGACATTCTTTACATCAAGTTGGTATAGAGGCCAATCTTGATTCACTGCAAGAGAGTAAAACTCAAACTATGTTGAGTTTGGCAACGGGAGCAAATGTCTCCTGGTAGTCAATCTCATATGATTGTGTGAAACCTTTGGCTATAAGTCTAACTTTGAATTTTTCAACACTGCCATCTCCCTTGTATTTCACTGTGAACATCCACTTACAGCCAACTGGATTCTTGCCCTGTGGTAGTTTAACTAGAGTCCATGTATTGTTCCTTTCTAGAGCCAGAATCTCCTCTTCCACTGCCTTCTTCCATGCTGGAATTCTTAGAGCTTCTTGTATTGAATTAGGCACCTGCACGTTGTCAAGAGTGGAAACAAAAGCCCTGTATGGAGGAAGCAATTTTCCATAGGCTACATACTTCTCAATGGGATGACCAGTGCACCCCCTAACACCTTTCCTGCGAGCAATGGGCTGATTCAAATCATCAATCATAGGAGCATGAGCATCATATGATAAGGATTCCATACCATCATGATTGTCAGGTGCAGGAGGACCCGGTTCCAATGATTGAGAATCCTGAGTTCGATGTCCTGTATATGCTCAGTAGGTCTTCTCCTTCTATAGACACGTAGTTCAGGATTGTGAGTGTCAAGTTGTGGCTGATTTGAGTCAAGTGGGGTTGTTTCAGGCACAGGAATAGGCACAGTTGGAACTGTTTCAGGATTGTGAGTGCCAAGTTATGGCTGAGTGTCAAGTTATGGCTGATTTGAGTCAAGTGGGGCTGTTTTAGGCACAGAAGCAGTGACTGGTGTTTCTGGGACAGTTTCAATGATAGGGACAAATTTTGGTTGAGTAGACATATCATTGGTGTCTGGAAGAGGATCCCAAATCTGATATTCTCTTGAGTTCTCCCCTTGAATGTCAGATTTGGAAAAATATGATTGATTTTCAAAGAATGTCACATCCATGGTGTTGTATACTCTTCGAGTGATTGGAGAGTAACACTTGTATCCTTTCTGGTTGGGGGAGTAACCAATAAAGATACACTTAAGGGATCTTGGATCAAGTTTGGTGCATTAATGTTGGTGAATGTGAACAAAGGAGGAACAACCAAAGACTTTTGAGTGGTAGGTCAGAAGAAAAAGAGCAGATATGGGGATAGGCATTAAGAAGTATCTGACGAAGGGTTTGGAATTTTAGGACTCGACTAGGCATAATATTGATGAGGTAGGTGGCAGTAAGGATGGCTTCCCGCCAGAAATATTTAGGAACACTGTTGGTGAGCATGGTGGCACGGGCAACTTCTAGTAAGTGTCTATTTTTCCTTTCTGCCACCCTATTTTGTTGTGGGGTGTCAACACAAGAACTGATGTGAATGATATCATGTTTGGAGAGATAAGAACCAAGAATAGAATAAAAATAATCCCTGGCATTATCAGTCTTAAGAATTTGGATCTTGCTTTGAAATTGGGTAAAAATCATGGAGTGAAAGGATTGAAATATTGTGGATGTTTCTGATTTTTCTTTCATGAGAAAGGTCCAAGTAGTTCTTGTGTGGTCATCTATGAATGTAACAAACCACTTAGCCCCATTAATATTTTTGATACGTGAGGGTCCCCAAATATCACTATGAATGACAAAGAATGGATGTGAGGGTTTGTATTGTAAACTGGAATATATATTTCTAGTATGCTTTGCAAGTTGACAAATTTCACATTGATAAACATTCGAACTTTTATTGATGAATAAATGGGGAAACAACTTCTCTACATAACCAAGGCAAAAATGCCATAACATAACTTGACTTTCAATTGAAACTGAATTGGAAACAGACACATAATTTAGAACACACTTGACTGAATTTGATGTAGGACCAAAACCTGACGATTGAACTTGTCTACCAAGGAGATTATTTTCTTTGAGCAAATACAGACCACTATGCATCTCAGCCCTGTCAATCACCTTCCCCAAATCCACTGCCTGAAAATCACAAAGATTGGAATAAAACTTAGTCACGCAATTGAGGTCACGAGTAAGTTGACTGATGGAAATTAAACTACAGTTCAAGTTGGGAACATAAAGGACAGAAGAAAGCAGAATGTCCTTTGTCAATTGAACTGATCTGATTCCTGCCACTGGTGATAAAGAGCCATTAGCTATTCGGACTCCAGAACTGCTAGTGCATGGCCAGTAATTTTTGAGTAGGTTGATGTCTCTAGTCATGTGATCTGAGGCTCATGAGTCGATTATCCATGGCTTTGAGGATTTATTTTGGACAATATGGGCATAGGATAAGATACCTTGGTGTGCAAGGAGACTAGTGTGTGGTTCGGCAGGTGCTTGAGATAGTTGTCCGGAACTCGATGCTTGACTCAGCATTTTCTGCAATGCTTCAATCTGCTCTCTGGTGAAAGGATTGTTCTTTGTGGTGACTGCAGCATTTGCACGGTTTTCTCTCTCAAACCGAGTATGGGATGGCTTCCAATCTGTTAGTTTGTCATGTAATTTCCAGCAAGTAGCCATGACATGACCAAGTTTCTTGCAATGGTCACACCAAGGCGCCCTTTTCCAGACCTATTGGGTTGAGAGGAATTGTGGGTGAACAAAACCGAGCCTTCCACTGCAGGTTTATTTTCTGTCAGCATTAATTTCTTTCTACTTTCCTCTCTTCTAACTTCTACAAAGGCCTCTCTAAGGTTAGGAAAGGGCTTGATTCCCATGACTCTCCCCCTGACTTCATCTAGATCCTTATTTAGGCCAAGAAGAATAGTCCTTTTCTGCTCAACAATCTGCTTATACAAAGCAGAATATTCAGCACATTTCCAGGAATAGGCCTCATACAGATCTAATTGCAGCCAACAACCTGTGAGGGTGTTAAAATATTGAGTGACACTCATATCTCCTTGTTTGAGGTCATACAATCTTGTCTCAACCTCAAACAGTTCAGAAGTATTTTCCGTGTTTGAGTATGTTTCACGTACAGCCTCCCATATGTCCTTGGCTGTCTTGTGAAGCAGAAAACTTTCTCCAACTTCAGTGGTCATGGAATTTATCAGCCAAGACATAACAAGATGATCATCATCTTCCAGGATCAGTGTTTGGGATCTGCAGTCTCCGGAGCCACAATTTTGCCGGTGAGATGTCCATCCTTCCCTCTGACGCAAATATACATGAATACAAATTGAGATCATTGGAGATAATTCTGGCCATGGAGTTTATGGTTTGTGACGATATTCGAGGGAAAATCAGGGACCGAAGGGACTAGGGAATTGACCTCGGATCTGGAAGTAACCTCCGAGGAAGATGTCTGTAAAGTCATGCCGTATTTGGTCATGGTAAAGAACAAGAATGGCCAGATGAAAGGGGCAGACATATAATGATGAATGAAGAAGAATGACTAGGGCATACATATTTGCTCTGATACCATGAAGGAAAAACTGAGTATTTTTTCTTGCTTTTAATGAAATATTCACAGCCCATATTTGCTCTGATACCATGAAGGAAAAACTGAGTATTTTTTCTTGCTTTTAATGAAATATTCACAGCCTAATATATAGAAGATGTGTCCGGCATTCCAGTCCACCAAATAAGGAAACAAAATCCCTTCAAATAAGGAATCCTAACTAAAACTGTAAAACTGAAACTAAATCTAATCTTTTCTAAAACAGAAACTAAATATAATCCTTTCTACAGCTTTTTTGCAGCTTGTTATATACATTATGAGTGCTGAAAATTTAGGGGGAAAATCGTCAAGAAGTTTCTTCTCCAGAATTTTACCTGGTACTTCATCAGCTGAGAGAATGGGCTTCAATAGGCTCTCGGAGCTTATAGTCTACAAGGAATATGGAACAATTAAAAATGAACAAAACTAAACCGTAAAAAGATAAATAAGCCACTGGAAGTTGCTCCTAGTAGGAAACAAGTTTTTGAGCAACTAGGGATCAAATAATACAAAAACCCAAGGTCTGAAGGCTCGGATTCAGTCCCTCTTATACAGCTCAAGAAGCGGGTTTCAGTAGTTTCAGATGTTCACTCTTAGTTTCCATTTGTGTATTTATTTATTTTTGGATTGTATAACAAAATTAATAGACCATTAGTTACAGTTTAGATACAAAGTCTTTAGCCAATGGTGATTTGATCTTTTTTTCTTAAAATGTACAGGATAACTATTTGGGTCATATGTCAAAGTATATTTAACAACTCAAAAACAGTTAGCTACTGTTTTCATTTTTGGAACCATTCATTTTTTTTAATATATTGGGTGAAATTGTATATAACTTTGAAATATATAAACAAGGTTCATTGTCTAAACCAAATATTTACACAAGTTCCATAGTGGACCTGTTAAATCATTATTAGTTGGTTTTTTAGAATTTCAGTTGATCATTTAATTTTAGTTTTGATGGTACGTAACATAGATGTTAGGAAACAGCCCAAGGTTTATTGATTTATACTTTCACTGTTTTCAGGTCAGCAAAAGAAAACTAAGCATACCATATGTTAATTTTCGGTAACTTGATTTAAGCCTATTATGCAAACGCTTGAGGAAAAAGAAACACCAGTCTCATACATGTGCTTGTCAGCATGTGTGATTTGCATTATTTGCATATACAGCAGGGGTGTTTTATGCTTGTTTCTGAGTCATCTCGTCCGTTTGACTTCCCAGATTCAAAACAGTAAGCATAGCAGGAATCACTGGACCTATTCACTAGATAAAAGAATTAAAGTTCGTAATTCGCATGTATGTGAGGTCATGGCCGATTGCTAGAGAAGGTAGAATAGACTTTATTCAATCTTACCAGGCTACCAGTTAGCTAACTTCTAGCCACTTCAGTGATACAAAACTTAGCTTAGAGAATTTACGAAGTACAGTCACAACACTTTACAAATTTCTTTGAAGCTTTCTTTTCACACTTTGGGAGCAATCCTAAGCTATTGACATGTAGCCTTCACGTGTGAACTAGTAGAATACTTAACAGAAAAATTACAAGTTCTATGTGACTGTGTCTGGCAGTGCCACAGGTGGTGGTTGTTTTCTTTTTTTTTCTTTTTTTCCCTCTTTTGTGGATGGGGGTTGGGGGTTGGGTGGGGTATTACATCAGTGCAATCACCAACTTTAAAATTTGTGTTGGAAATTTGTTGCAGTCTCCTTACTCCCCATATGATCATGATATTAGATGACCTTTTATGGGAGTTTTCCACTATCAGGTATAGTGGCCGTCCTCATAGGGAACCACTTGGATGCTTCAACTTCATCCTGAAATTTCTCTAGTCATCTCCTGTGATTACTCTGTTTAATTTATGCAGCTATTTCTAAAGTAAGTGATTAAAATCAAAATATTCATGGTTTATCTCCAACAAGTTATACTAAAACGTAGAGTCCACTTAGTTGGCCAACATTGTAGCTGATCTTAGGCCTCTCTTCATGTATGGGTGATTTCCTATGATCCTATCTACAAGAAAAAGAAAAAAAGAACATCCTGAAAGCAAACAGCATCATTGACCCCTAGCTCCATATTTCGTAGAGAGAATCATATGATAAATAAGTTTATCATATGTGATGGACTTATGGTAAGAGAAGAATCTCTGGATAAAATGAAAAACATGTTGACAAACTTAAATGGCACCCAGAGAAAATAACGAACATGGTGGCAAACTGAAATAGCACTAAGTTCTAGTCCTTGGTTTCTGAAACCATAACAATGATGTGGGTGTCAAGTCTAACAAATTCCAAATTACAGCCACAAACAAATTTATATAGCAGACGTAGTCAAACATTCCTGCAGATAGTAGTGCAAGTCAAACTCCTATCAAGCTTTATACTCTATGGAGGAAACCTATTATATATCTGCATACACATGAAGTATAAGATAGCATCAAATTATAACCTCATAAAAAGAACATAAAATATGATACACAGATTTACTTATGTATTTGCATACACGTGGGAAAGCTTCATTCCAAACCAGTCTTGCTTAATTTATGGAACTTAAACAGCATATCGACTTGCCAAAACATTTACCGTTATTGAGTGGCCCTGATTCGCACGAATAAAAAGCTCTCCATTTTCTTCCAAAAGGCTAAACCGTTGCTTATTATCCTTCCTAACTGCCTGCTTAATTTACAACACAGACAATTAGTTGAAATTAGCATAAAGTAAAGGGCATTCCGAGTAGAAATTAACTCGATGGAAAGGCTTAGTAAACAAGAGTCATGCCATGGCTTCAAGAAAATCACCAGAAATAGTTCAAAAGTATAGTTTAGGTTTCCAACTGGTTGTCAATCGTCTATATCTATCAAGACGGAGGAAGGAAAAGGAGGAGAAAATCCCAATTGCTAACTGACTGAAAAATCCGTCAAATGTGTGTTCTTATTTATTTATTCTTTAAATGAGGATCCATTCAGTTGATGTAGCCACCCAAATGTCATTCACATTTACTATATCCATAGATTTTTCTTATCATAAATTAAGTATTTATGATCAGACAATTATTATAAGAAAGGCTAAAAGTGCAGTTACGAGCTACCTTTAATCTTCAAGTATCAGTTTGGAATATCTGTTAGAATTCAACTTTACTCCTTACAATGAAATGTTAGCAGCAAGAATGAAATTATAAAAATGAAATATACACCAAAAGAGTGCCACTGAGTGAGGAATTTCTTATCGACGCTAAGCATTGTAAGTTGGTGCAATTAGAATTTAACTTTACTCCCGATGTTTTAAAAGCAAAAGGCGAGGTCAACGCGATTAGGTCCTATGTTGCATGAGGCGAAGGGTGCCAAGAAAGGCGATCACCTGATCGAACCAAGGTGATAAATATTCAAAAACAATCATAGACAATATAAATAATATGAAAATATCAATAAATAGCAACAAGACAACTTAATCAGTGCCAAATTTTCAAAATCACAAATCTAATAATTTATAAACGATTTTAATGAAGTAGTAAGTAACAAATACTGAATAGTAGTATTAACTAGTACTGCTAACATAGATTATTAAGCAGCAAACTTTGAACTTTAAAGTTCAAATTTTGGCATGTCCTCAAAATAATATAGGTAATAAAATACATTATAACAAAAAAGGTAAAAAATCGACCAAGAAAAAAGAAATATAGAAATTCAATAACATAAACAAACTTTACTTTGTCGGACACCTTTCACACCCTCAAAATTCTAAACTAGAGACAAACATCATGCATCTTGCATCACATGCCTTAGGCGAACGTCACGCCTGAGGCACCGAGGCAAAATCATGAGGTGCTAAGGCAAGCTATTGAGGCACCAAAAGGCGCTTGCCTTAGTAACATTCATCGCTTGGCAATATGCAAGGCGCTAAGTTATAAGATCGCCTCGCCTGAGCGCCTAAGACACTAAGGTGCATCACCTTTAAAACACTGTAATTACTCTTTACAATGAAATGTTAATGACAAGAATGAAAATTATAGAAATGAAATATTCACCAGAAGCGTGTCGCTGAGTGAGGAATTTCTTATCAACACTAAGCACTGTAAGTTGGTGTCTCCTAATTAAATTTTACAAGGTAAAACAAACCTCCAGTACTATCTGCTTCCAGAATTAAATCCAGAATATGTCCATCTCTAGAATGATAGATCACCTTCAGAAAGTTTATGAAGGATTGACACTTGTGATCAGATGACGTCTAAACATGATGAAAAGTAACAGCCTAAGTGCAAAGTGCCAATATGGAGGAGCAACTGGTATCTTAATCAACTTAGCACAGGAAATCTATGTAATTCTTTTGGCATAGATTTATGATCGCAAAAAATGGCTGAAGATAAAAGTTGGCAAGTTGGCAGCACCAGAGAAGATCCGGGAGGAAAGTCATTAGGTTATAATTTCAATTGCCAATTATTGTGTAAAAAATTTATAATCAAATGTATCAACCAGTTTGTGTTTTAGAAGGCCATTTGATGTGACAAAACATATCAGCATAATGGTGTCAGCAATTTATTTTGGACATAATCTTGAGTTGAGCTGCAAACTTTTAGAAGCATTTAGATTTGCAAACACTTCTGTTTATTGCACTGTAAATACCACTCCATAATAACCACTATGCATGCAAGTTTAAAAAGTCCTTGATTGTAATAGTTTGTAGAAAATTACTGAGCAACGGGTTACTTCGAGAAATCATCCAAGCTAATGAGGGGGGGGGGGACAAAAAGAAAAATTCCTACAACAACTCCAAATTTTACATCAATTTTCACAAAACCGCCTGAACTGTGAGATGAACTGCACAATTTTTGAACATGAAAACTTAAAGAGGAAAAACCTTTCAACTTTCGGGAGTTTCACAACGTCCCTCTGAGCATTTGAAAATTTCTATCCCAGAGCAAATACCATTACTAGAGTTTATCAAGCGAAGTTTTTTGTTACCGCCAAATTTGTGGAACTTTTTTGAAACTTGTGCAGATCATCGCAGTGTGAAAAGCGGTTTTGTGAAAATTTGCACCCTAACCAAGAAATCAAAGAGAAACTCACAGCAGTTTTCCAAGCGCATCAATCCGATCAGACCCGACAGCGCCGCCGCCGCCGCCGCGACCTCGACCTCCCCCGCTACAAAGAAACCCAGATGGGTAAGTAGAGAATGAAGCAAGGAGTCGAAATATTAAATGGGTCTGGTTCAATTTTAATTTGTCTTCTGCACCTAGAAAATGTACCTGGACTTTGTTGTTCAGCTTTGTAGTAGTAATAAGAAGACCATCAAGGCAACAAATCACATACATCTTTGGTCTCAAACATGGAGACAGTTAGGTCTCAGACAAAGGTAAGATCGCATTAAAAGGCATCCCGCTACTTCCATCATCTATTCTCTATCAAGAGGTCTTCTGACAGGTTTGGAAGTGAGAAAGAAACGACACAAAGGTAAGATCGCATTAAAAGATGACTTAAATGAATCAGAATGGGTTATCGCATTAAAAAACCAGACCCGATAACAAACTAACCCATTTCCCCCCTCTTAAATTGCTCCCACGTGTGGGTCTTTTTTTTGGCTCCCGTGTCCCTGGCATTTGGGTGCGGAACCGCACCCAAAACGTACCCGACACAGGTACAACACGGAATTGGCCGTGTCCGGGTATCACAGGTTATTTGACATAAAATTTGCATTTTAAGCTTTGAACAGACAAAGTGTACAAAATCAATAAAACTAAAGTTAACGTGACCAAAAGCAAAGTTTTGGGCATATAAAGCTCAGGTTGAGCAGGAATACATGATAAAGGAAAGAGGACTGAACGGCGTATAATGAAGAGGATCCTAAATGACGATTTTGAGTTTATGATGCAGCGCGATCGTTAGCCATCTATTACGAATTTTATAGATTTACTGGCATCTTTGTTATTTTAGTAATATTTGATAAAATCTCCCAATTTTAGGTGAAGATCTCCTTAGGATTTGATTTACGATTGTTAGGATTTCTGAGATTTATTTTGTTAGAGATATTATCTTTGTTTCATCTTTCCTAGGATTTAGTTAGGACCTAATTTACTTTCCATGTTTAGTTTTTTTCTATAAATAAAATCGTAATTCTCTATTGAGGAATTAGAACATGATTAATAAAAAGAAAATTTTTTGAGATGTGAAACCTTTGTAAGCATGTGAAATGCTAAAAATATGACATGAGAAGTGTCGAGGTGTGGTGCCGAGATGTGAAACCTTTGTAAGCATGTGAAATGCTAAAAATATGACATGAGAAGTGTCGAGGTGTGGTGCCCTTAGGTGTGAGGCCCATCTCTTATCGAAATGCTAAAAATATGACATGAGAAGTGTCGAGGTGTGGTGCCCTTAGGTGTGAGGCCCATCTCTTATCTTAGCCCTCCAATTACAATATCCTTCAACCAAAAATTCACTCCTCAACCTTCTTAGCCATTTGTCCTTTCATCAAAAGATCACCTCCATTCAAAAATATCAAAAGAAAACCTAAAACCCTTCACGGGTAAACAAAAACATGTGCACTGTTTATCTGTTCATCTCGTAAGCAGTAACCTTTTTGTTGTTCGTGATGGATTACAACACCATTCTGCCAAGCCGTCGCCGATTTCTCGCCTTCACATCGAAGCCTTCGTGCTATTCCCCATCATTTAGTATCAGAACCGACAGACCCATGATTATCAAGGATAAAATACCGATACCTCCTTCACAAGGGTACAATTTCAATCCATTAATATTTGGTACTCTTAACTTATTTTTATGGATTTGAAGGACATAAGGAACCCTATGATTTTAAAGTTTGGATTTTTAATATAGAAGATATATTTTTTATCTACGATATGCCAGATCTAAAAATGTATTTATATGCTTATAGGCTCAAGAGAAGAGCTAAAAAATAGTGGTCTAGAAATTATTCAGAATTTCATTCAGGTATCTGCTCATGGGTGTGTGTGAAACCTCTTCTAGAAAGGAGATACTCATCTAAGCCATATAGAAGATATTGTTCCACTTCAAATTCTGAAGCAAAGTCCACACGAGTGCCTCAACTCCAGCCAGATGCAGACCCATAGTTAGATCTTGAGTTCAGCCAAATCTAGAATCAGAACAAAAATTGGAGATTAAGCCACAACTAAAGTCTGAACTAAAACAAGAAGAACCAAAGCGGAAGATCGACTAAGAGCCAAAGGTTGAGCTAGAAGAAAAATAAGAGCAAAATACTGATTCAGAGCCTAGCCCAAAGCGAGAGATGCACTTGAGCTGGAGCCAAATCTAAACCACATCAGAAAATTGATTCGAAGTTCAAGCCTGAACTCAGACCTGTACAAGAGCCATAACTTACGTTGTAACTGAAAGTTTAGCCAAACGTGGATTCAAATCCAAAGCATGCATCAACTCCAAAGCCTGAAATTGAGTCAAGCCCAGAAGCCGAACGTAAGATCGAAATACAGTTCAAACTCTCGGTCCAGATTAATCTGATTGTTGAGTTCATTTTCCCAGACCCTCCATGGCCAACTCAATATCGGGTTCTACAACTTCTCTTGAAACTCCTACGGCCCTCGATGAAATACTTCCACCGAATAAATTACACATTACACTCTCCCACTATAAAACTCGATGTCGAGTTTTATAAAACAAGAGAAGATTTGATGCAGGACGATCGTTTAACTGTTGATCAGGAATTGTATAGATTTGTTGGTATCGTTGTTATTTTAGTAATATTTGATGTGATCTCCCAATTTTAGGTAAAGATCTCCTTAGGATTTGATTTACAATTGTTAGGATCTCTGATATTTATTTTGTTAGAGATCTTATCTTTGATTCCTCTTTCTTAGGATTTAGTTAGGATTTGATTTACTTTTTTCAGGTTTAATTTTTCAATAAATAGAGTTGTAATCCTCCATGAGGAATTAGACCATGATTAATGAAAAGAAACTTTCTTGAGATGTGAAATCTTTATTAGTATTTGAAATGTTAAAAATATGACATCTGAAATGTCGGGGTGTGATGCCCTCTGGTATGAGACCCTTCTCTTATCCTAGCCCTCTAATCACACTATCTTTCAATTAAAATTCACTCCTCAAACATCTTACCCATTTGTCCTCTCATCAAAAGATCACCACCATTCAAAAATATCAAAAGAAAACCTAAACCCCTTCACGGGTAAACAAAAACATATACACTGTTCATCTCGTAAACAATAACTTTCTTGCTGTTCGTGATGGATTACAACACCATTACGCCAAGCCGTCACCGATTCTCGCCTCCAAATCAAAGCCCTCGTGTTGCTTCCCATCAGTTTATAACAGAAGCAAATAGCACATTCTAATGGTCTGAGGAAAAGGTAAAAAAAATACAAAAAATAAACTATCCACTCGTTCAGAAATAAATCAAGTTGGCGAACTAGGACTTGAACATAGTATCACAAATGCATATATTATGTGATGCAAGCTAAGGAGGATCCATTTTGAAAGAAGGGGATGATATAGGAGATCCAAATGCAAAGTGACTATGGGGAAAGAGACCGCCGAGCCTTCATAGGTCATGAGATCAAAAAGCAAGAGGAAATGACGGAGCTGACAACAGCTTGCATTAGTGCCTAAAATGCAGAAGATGGTTGTCTCTGCGTGCCCAAATGCAATGATTAAAATACTAGAATTCTGAATGTAATTGCTTGCTTCCAACATGAGATGATGATTTCCTTCCCTGCTTCCGATCAAGAAGCTTAAAAGGCCCAAAGTTACTGCATCTTGCTGATTACTTCTGATCCTGTGCCGTTTGAATACCATTTGCCTTTCTAGGATCAGTTTGGTATTGCTAGAACTTGTGATAAGTTGCTTATATATGCAGTTTGTATAAGCAACTCTTATAAGTGACTGAAAATAGATGTTTGGTAATCATATATCATAAGCTACTTTCAAAAAAAAATGTGTTTGGTGAAAGTGTCCATAAAGATTATTATAATCGAGATGACAAAAAATAGACATATCTTTTGCTATCAAAATAGACAAGATAAGTTTAGAATATAAAAAGTAATAGTATCAAAAGCTAAAGGGTAGATATGGTACAAAAAGCAAAAGCTGCTTTTGAAAATCAGCTTCATGTTGCTTCTAAAAGAATCCCATAAAAGGGGCAGCAGTTTCAATAAGATGGCAAAATAAGTTTCACCAAACAACATATTCATTACTTTTAAAAAAATTAAGCAGAAGAAACCTGGAAAAAGCAATATCAATACCAAACTAACTCTTAGTCCCATTCAAGCTCCACTCAGAGGCCCATTCACCATCTCTTCATGTCAGCCATCATTTCCTAGTCTCCTACCCCTTACCCTATTATTAAAAAAATAACAGAAAATGCTTTGATATGAATCACAAATGCTTACACGAATGCTAAAAGTCTAAAACTCACGCATATACAACTTCTGCAAGTTAGTTAAGCACATGAAGAAACAATAGATCTCGCTCTAATCTAGCTTTTTATCTTGACATGAGCCCCTACCCGAAGTTGTCAGGTTACTCCCTCAAATCTAGTCTACCAAATTGCATACCATTAACTTAAACTATAAATCCTTGGGAGTATTCCTGAACCATAACAACTTCCTACAGTTCACACCAATATCAAGGTGTCTTCAGTGCTCTATAGGTAAACATGATTTGCACATCGAAACAAGCTTACCCTACTCCTTGCTCCTGCTAGGGTACACTTCCTTAATTTTTTTTGCTATAACTGGAAACCAACTGATCCAACAGTCCGAACTAAAGCTCCTACTAAATTCAAAACTTAACCACCTAACGGATCAACTCCCATTTTCATCAACTAAAACTTTTTTTTTTTTTTTTTTAAATGTCAGTGAAACCCCACCGTTCTCAATGCTGCTGAGGTCTCTACACTTCTTCATACAGAGAACACACTCAAATTTCCTTCCAACCGATAATTAGCTTTCCCCCCTCCTTATCTAAAAATTTCCATTGGAATCAACGCCTAATAGCTTCCAAAAAATTCTGACACATTTCAAGAAAATCGCTCCTAACAAGCAATTCAACAAACACCTCCGCTGCCGTACCTATAACAAAATCCAAACTTTTCGACAAACTCACCTCTTGAAGCAATCCAAGACCTCATCAACCGTCGACGCGTCAACGTCCGCCATCACCGCAAACTCCTCCCCCGGGTTATCGGGCCCAGGACCCGACCCCGCCCGATCCAACGTCACCTCCCCGCCCGGTGGCCGGTAAAGGACCAGATCGTACAGAAACCTCCCCTGGGGAGTGAGCAGAGCCGCATAAATCGGCGGCGGGGCACGAAAGGGGACATTGGGGGTCGTGACGTCGTTGGTGAGGAGGCCTTGAAGGAACTTGATGGTGTCGGGGCCGCGGAAGTGGAGGACGGAGCGGGAGGAGAGGCGGCAGGCGAGGGGGCCCACGGAGTCTAATGGCGGCTTAGGGTTTTGGCTGGAGAGGGATCTTGAAGGAGGAGGAGGGCGGAGGAGGGAGCGACCCCCGAGAGGGCAGCGGAAAGGAGGCATCTTTCTGAGTTTCCGAGGCTCGGGAGGAGCCCCGTTTGCTGTTTAGGATTTAGGAAGTCAGGGAGAGCGCGGCAGTGAGCTGACGCGTGGGGAGCACGTGTCGCCTGGATGATCCGGGGCATCTAATAAACAAACCCGTGTACTGTAAAAGAGACGGTGAATTAGCAAACTACGCCCCTCCTAATTAATCAAAGCCTACCGCTTTGGTGCTTCATAGAGATTAGTTGGAGAAATAATAGCATATCCGTAACTAAATTCTTTAAAAATATCTCTCACAATTCTAGGTAGATAGATTTGACGGTTATGAGGTGTTCCACACCCAAAATTGTAATTAACTATGGGTAAAAAGGTTATTTTAGGAAATATAATTTATGAGAGAAACAGAATTTATCATTAATTAGAATTTTTTAATTAACTATTAAAACCGAAGCTTTTCTCCACACTTTCCATTAGAAGAAACTGGTTAGACTCCAAAAAATCTCGTGAAGAGAAAGAGAACGCCATGAAAGGTACCTCTTATTTTTTCCTTTTTTTAAAAAATTTAATTATATAGTATGATGTAGTTGTTAAGCCCTTAAATTTTTCGTTCTTCAAATCAGTAATCATTTGTTTTTCTATATAAAGATAGATTTTCTTTTGGAAATAGACTGCCTAGCGTGAGGAGGGTTCAATTGGTTTCTAATTAACCCCATTCGTGAGATTGAGAAGTAAATTTGATTGAATGGAAAAAAAAATTGTAAACCGTGCAGGACATGTATTTTCTATCAGTATGCAAAAATAATAGAAGCTAAAAGTAAGGAAATTCAACTGGTTCTTTTTTTTTCCTTTTTTTTCTTTTGTGCGGGTGGAACTGAGACGTGAGATTGAGAAAGAGATTTTTAAAAGACTAAAATACCCTTTCTTATTTTAGCGAATTTGTTATTTTTGTCAATTTAAAAATAAAAAAAAAACCTATTTTTGGAGCACCGAAGCAAACCTCTTTAAATATTTTGCACCGTGCGGGGCGTTTTAATAGGATTGCTACTCGCTCACGGAGATAATTATGTTTTGGCCGGGATTTTGTCAGGTTTTTTCCCGATATTACCCCCTTATGACAATCCATTTTCGGGTACTCTTGCAGCGATTTTGTTGGGCTTTTTTCCTATATTAATCCCCTAAGAAAGTTCGTTTTCGGAAATTTTTTTTTAAGGAAATCACTTGAAATTATTTCTGAGTTTTATTTACTTATTTCCTCTTTTTAAGTTGGGGAAAATGTGTCTGGGCCTAGGGATGTTAAATGGGTGGGTTTGGGTATTAAATGGACGGGTCATAAATGGGCGGGCATGTTTTGCCTATTTACCCATTTATGGCCCATTTAACATTTTCTAAATGGGCGGGTTTTTACCCACCCATTTAATAAACGGGCCGCCCATTTGCCCATTTAACTATAGTAGCTATATATGTATAATACTTTTAGGGTATTTTTTGTAAACTTTTAGGGTTTTTTTTGTAAACTATTGGGGGATTTTTGTAAACTTTTTGAATTATCAAAATATGCACATGCATGTACATAACTCATTCAGGAATAGCATGAACATATTGAACAAGATAGCATTAAAATTACCAATCATGTTTTTTTTTTACTATACCAAGCACAAAGAACTCAAAGAATACATCACCTGAAAAATGATATACATATTTTATTGCGATAACCAATGTCACAAGAAGCCACTTATGCCACATCAAAAAGAAATTTAAATAGAGCACAACTTTTTCGAACGTGCAAACCTGTCTTATGAATAATCATCTCAACTCGCCTTAAAATGCCACAATAACCCCACGAGTGGCCTTCAGAGAGAGAAATAGTATCAATGTAACTTGAGGAGAGCTCATCGGTTTTAAATTCTCTATTCGATAATTTTCAATAATGATGGGGTAAAAATGTCAGTTACTTCACGTAAGAAAAACAAGTTCAGAACAATCATGTTGTTCTAAATTACAGAAAGGAAAAAATACAGTGTACGAAAAAGCTCAGAAGACCATATACAACGAATTTTCATCTCTCATACTATATCAGCAAAAACAATGGGAACAAAACTCTACTTGGTAGGCTGTGCAATCATATTGCTTCTAGCTTGCTCTTTGGCAGTCTCCACCAGTGAATCCTGCATGCAGAAACACAGTTAAGATACTTACACAGTTAAAATACTTTTGCTAACATACACAAGTGACAAGCCTTGTGCTAACATACACAAGCGTTTTGCACAATGACACCACACTATCACCCCATTGTACATGTATCAGCTACAATTGGGATAATCATTAAAAGAACAAGTCATATGGTCTCAGGAAATAAAATAATTATTCTAGCTGAAGTCATAGAACTTGATAGAACATGGTAGATATTGACAGGTATTTTTGAGAAAAAATTGAAAATAAAAAGAACCCTGAATCTTACAATAAAACAAGAGGCATCAGGGTTTAACAAGTAGATAACTACTTGGAGGGACTAAATTTTCTTGTGAGAAAAGGATGAGAGCTTACAAGTCATTTTCCTTTCTCCTCAAGTAAATATATACTCTGCAGAAGGCATGGTTACTTGCAACTATCTAACCGTGGATATTTGCACTGTCGAACAGAAGAGGCATATAGAAATTAATAGTAAAAGAAAAATCATCTACCAACTAAGAGAATGTAGCTTTCGCCTTCTTGGATCATTGTGAAGAAAGAAACTAAGAAGAAAAATGATTAGAAGTGTATAAGAAGAAAAAAAAATCAGAGAAACATTCCTAGAAAAGGGAATATGGTATTTATTATTCATGAAATGAATAGGTAACTAATCGAAATTCAATGAATTCAAAAGAATGTACGACAATTTCAACAAGTTACTAAAAAAATATTAGAGTTCAATGAATCCAAGATAAGAAGATGCTGAAATAAAATAACAGGAACTGTGCTAATCATATCGTTATTGAAAAGGATACAGGTCATAGCTTTTTAAAGGAAGGAGGCAAATACTTCATGTCCGCTTGGTGGTCGGAAATTTTTTACAAGGTCCTCAAACCGGGATTTTGACAACGAAAAGTCTCAATGGAAATTCCTTTCAACAATCGATTCAGAAAATAGGCGGTAACTGCACTTCATGCTTCTAACTCCATGTCCTGAGTACTGTATTTAGTGCTACATCTGTTAATGTCCCAAAGAAAGATAACTGAACTTGCTAACGTCCTTTGATGCCTAAGCAGCTAAAGACATGGAGATGGATAAAAATCAGAATTTATCCAATGTCACAATTGCAAAAGGCAACAAATTGGACAGGCTTTGAGTGCCTTAACCATTTAATTCTTGTGTTAATTCCTAATCCAATGTCGCAATTACATATAGTTGATCAATCGTACAAAGAAATATTTTATGAAAAAAAGAGGAATGTATTATACTTATACTAAATGATCTTCCTAATCCAAATTGAATCAATAGTTAATGAACAATTATCGAACTATCTAATAACTATTTGATCAACATTACCCATGTCAATCTCAACATCATAGAACATTCAGATGCATATTTTGTCCCGTAATCTGAATCCATTTACATCCCTAATTACATCAGACAGCCTTTATATTAACTCACACAACCTCTAGTCACATGATGACTTGTTTTCCCCTTTAGTTTTTTTAACATCCACTGAAATCATAGAATAAGACTTCTTTTAACATGAACATGTCCACAAGGTACCCTCCTAAGATTAAAAACGAATGGGTAACTAACACCATCATGGGGTTAGGAGGTGCATGTGCTGATAAAATAGGATGGATGACAAGTCTATACCCCGGGGGTGCATCTACCAATGATCCTCCTTTTCAAAATACAAACATTAGAATGCAACCCCAATTCACAAACAGTAATATTATATGTCATCCATACCTCTGTTGATTCAGATAGGCTCTTGGCTTAATTCGACACCTCAATCTAAGTGCTGAAGTAAATACAGCCACACTTCCGTTTGTGAAACTTGCATATATCATTTGGCTATCACAAGAATATGCTGCATGGGCGATTAATTCCCCTCGTGGAAACCACTGTGAAAAGAGTAGAATTATAATACAACGAAATTTGATGAAAATGACCAAAGTGCTATAGAAATAATAAACAGTTCATGTTACAGATTTAAAATGAAATTTGATGAAAATGACCAAAGTGCTATAAAAATAAATAAACAGTTCATGTTACAGATAAGATATTATAACACACCATACAATGTATAGATTTCCTTGGACCTGCAATATACGCAATTCTGGCAAGTGATTACAGAATACAGCAGTGTCATAAACTAATAATCCCATTAATATAACAGTCTCTGAGCATTCATGGGTTATGAATGTTTAATATAATGTGATTAATATTAACTTCGAAAGCGTGGTTAGATGACCAAACTACTCATTCCCTCCCCATTCAGTAAGCATTCAGCCTAAAAACCTAGAACATGTACCCTCTTCAGTAAGCATTCAACCTGTGTCTCAGTGAAGTTATTGAACTACAATGGCACAATGAGCTATCATTCAAATAATTTTGGTTAGCAGTGAATTATAAATTATAAATTACATTAAAAAATCTAAATTCCTGCCGTTTCCCATTACAACAAAGCTACTAAACAATAGCAGCTAATTAGTAAAACTTTTTTAAAAAGGATCTACTAGAAATTAGAAGATAAAGCCCATATCAATTGAAAAATTTAAAACCGTAGAAACTAAATCAAAAAGGAATAATATTGTAATTTAAAATAAATCCTAGAATATAAAATTACCTTCTCTTGATCTGAGGATTGGGGATCAAAGATAAGAGGAGATCGAAGGGCAGGAGAAGAGATCTAGGTCGAGAAGTGGAGATCGAAGGAGAAGAGATCAGAGGCCAGAGGTGATCGAAGGCAGAGCTCGAGCTCAAGGGAGAGAGGAGATCGGAGGCCGGAGGTCGAGGTCGAGCTCGAGGGGAGAGGAGGAGGTCGGAAGCTAGAGGTCGAGGTCGAGCTCGAGCTAGAGATGAAGAGGAGAGAAAATCGTGATTTTTGAGATCGGGTAGTTTCTGAAGGGTGAAGAGTGAAGGCGAAGGGTTTGCTGGAGTCGG